CCCATGACTACATTGTAGGGTAGTTGACTGAACACAAAGACAGATACCACTGCAATGATGACCTTGAAGGCTTTATTCCTCTCAAAGTTCTTGGCTTGGATAAGGGTCTTGATGATACAGATGTAACAGAACCCCATGACAACCGTTGGAAGTATAAAACCCAGGACCATCTGACTTACCAGCATCCTAATGCGGTAGGCTTCATAGTTGTTGCCATTTGCTGTACAAGTTCCATTGATGTTGACTTCAGAGAACACCATGTCGGGTACTGAAAAGATCACTGCCATCACCCACGTTACTAGAGAAGACACCTGTCCATAAAAGACTGCACTGGAGCGACAGCGATGAGCAGAGACGGCCTTTGTTATGGAGAAATAACGATCTACGCTGATGCAGGTGAGAAGGAACATGTCACTGAAGAAGCTGACCTTGTAGATGGTGAACATAGCCTTGCATGGATACAGACCCAAATGCCACTTGCTCATGAAACTAGCTGCCCAGAAGGGGAGAGAAATTGCAAACAGCAGGTCAGCCATGGCTAGATTGAGAAGGTAGACGTCAGTCATTGTCTTCAGCCTCTTGAAGTAAAGGTAGGTTAGGATGACCATAAAGTTTCCCACAAGGGCCATGAGGCAGATGACCGTGTAGATAGTGGGAAGGAACCATGCACGGAAGGAACGGTTGGAGTCTCTATCGCAGATGAATTCAAACTCGCTGTATTCCACAACCTCTGTGGAATACTCAAACTCTGATGTGAAGTTTTCTCCCACATGGCTTTCAGTAGTCTCATTGGACCAGCTTTTCTGAAATAAAGGTAATGCAGAAGCTTCATAAAAACCTCTCAAGGAATGAGTTACTCAGCAAAAGGCATCATTATCCTATACATTTACAACCTCTAGACAGTCTAAATCTGTACATGATTCCTGTTTAGAGATTAACTGTGCTCATGAAACTAGCTGCCAAGTGTTTGAGGAACCCATTCAACTATACAAGGTTGGATTCAAAACTAGATGTGCAGATAAACAAGTAGTCCTCAAGAAGTCTGATGAATAGTTCTCACAAAAATGGAAATTCTGGCATCTTGTTCCAAACTCTGGTAACACTTTACAACAAGGTTCCAGTTGTTATACATTAGTTTGCATTAACAATGAAAAAAATATTCTAAAGCTACTGAGCTACATGAACTAACATTAACAAAGATGAATAAATACTGTCTGTAACAAGTGTATTGCTCATTGCAAGCTAATGTTAGTTTAAGCATTAAATAACGTTAACTAATGGAACCTTATTGTAAAGTGTTACCGATTTACTTTTTTTTGTTTATCACACAAAAGATGTCAGAACGACAGCCTCAGTCACCATTCACGTTCACTGTGCGCAAAACGTGCGCAATGAAAGTGATTGGTGACTGATGTTTTCATTCACCCTCAAATTCTTTTGTGTTCCACAAAAGCATGTCAGTCATACAAGTTTGGAACTATGAGTAGAGTGAATAAATGATGACAGAATTTCCATTGTAGGGTGAACTATTCTCTGGACTTAGAGGTTAAAATGAAAGGTAAGTGCAGTTTGTCTTGGTTTAATGCATGAATTACCTTTATGTGGCACGACCACATCAGCAGCAAAGGACAAATAACTGTCAATGAAAAACGCAGTGTGTCAGAAAGTGCACAAAATTATAGTTTTCATTCATAGACAAGTAAAAGTTTTTTTTTTAAATACATTTTTATCCTTTCTCTTCTTTGACCAAATCCTTTATATTTTTATACATTTGTACAGCTATTTGATACATTTAACAGCGTAAGTCAACAGATTAATTTCTAGGCTTACCGGTAAACGCATGCATGGTTTAAGACTTTCTCTTTGAATGTTTCGCCAGGACTGCTAACAACACAGTGATTATGAGAGCTCTGCATCTGTTGTGTTAAAAAGGTGAAGAGCCACTTTTAACTCTGAAGCCAAGACCAGAGGAAAGGGTTTTCACCACAGCCTGCACGGTGTTTCAAGAAAAACAACTTCATTTCTTACCTTTGCACAACCATAAAATTGTGCCTATTATATTCATCCTATTTTAATTACTTACCAGCTGATCATTAAATTAAACCAACAAGTAATAATTTAAAACAAAATGCATTATCTATTTGTAATCTTTTAGTATTTTCACTGTCTGCTTATAATTTATTTTTCTAATTTCTTAAACATTGCATCATAATAAGTGAGTTTTGACAATATAGGCCTAATAGTCATTTATTAGATACTGATACACTACAGTACTGTGACACATGGTAAAACTGCTTTTATACAATGTGACCCAAGTGTTAATAGGGTTCAAATTTAGATGTTTTATCTTTATTATGATGACACAGTTATAATTACTTACAAAAAAAAGATGTATTTAATAATAGGAAAGCATGATTTTTGTAAGTGTCGTGTCACAGCACTCCTGGTTTGCTCTGACTATTCTGTAATGTTTTACAATGTTTTACAAGTTATGTCAAAATCCTGAACAGAAGTGCAGACTATAAATGAGCACATGCTATAAAACAACAATTTATCTAATATGCTTCCCCCCCACCCCTTCTTCTGGTTCTTTAAAGCTCTCTGTCCTCAATCACTGGCAACACCCCCACCGTCCCCTCCCCTCCCCCACCAAGTTTCAACTCTGCACAGGTAGACGCACTGCTGCACGTGTGCAATTGTGGGTTTGTGTGTACATTGCTGCCAGGAAAAGAGGCCTAAGCAGGAAGACGTGTTTTGGCCACAACTCAGGTGACTTGCGTGGTGAAGGCACTGTTGTAGTTAGCTCACTCAAACTATGAATCAACCTCATTGGTACAATCACCTGTACACTTACCTGTTTATACAGAAACCATTGGTGTTTGTGGGGATTTTTTATTTTTTTGTTTTGTTAATGACTGATAAATGGCCTTAAGGTTGAAATATATATATATATATATATATATAAACACACATGCATGCAGTGGATTAAAAAATATGTCATAAAAATTAAGACTAAACAAAAAGGTTACATTCAAGATAATCTGGGCAATGGCAAGCCAATTTGTATTCTTTAAATGCAGGTCATAGACTGTTTGTAGCTATCAAGCTTTGAGTTTCATCAAAGAAAAATCAAAGAAAAAGAGAGAGAGAAGGAGCACACATCCCCCCACCCAAAATCAGAAAAGAAAACAACACACCAATGAAAGTTCCCTTTTCTCAAACCACCCCTAGTAAAAAACAAACCAATGCATGCTGTTACATGGAAAGTTTGCCAAAGTGCACGCAAGCATGTGCACTTTAAAACAATGGCCTATGATCACTGTTAGATATATCTCAATATCTCTATGCCAATTCATAGAAGCTTGAGAGAAAGAGTTGACTGTGGTTTTAATAAAAAACAGGAAGATGTAACCTATCAAAACCACAATAAATTATCTTGGTATGTCAAATGTTGGAGATAAGCAACTCAAACCTGAGAAACCCAAGAAACCCTCGATCGCTTTACTGATTTTAAGGTAACTTGTTAAACCAATTAAGTATCAAGAAGATCTATGTCTTTATTAGGTATTTACTATCTATTAAAATAAAAAAGGATTTCTTTCGTGCATTTAAATTAGTTGCAAATTACATATTCATTATAGAATTCCAGTATACAAACAATTATTGGTTGTGAGATGAGGCAACGCTTGCATAGCTGCTCTTTAGTAGTTTATGGCCGCCAGCATCTCTATTATGTTAGCAAAAGCATGTTAAAGTTAAATGCTTCAGAATTTGCAAATGAATATTTTGACTACATTGTATGAATACATTGAATATTTACATATTATGCATAAAACATTTTAATCAGAAGAACAACCAAGAGATGCAATATACTCCTTAATGTTGTATCATGGATGTGAGCACAAATTATCTTTTCTATTTTCACTTCAGTCCAAGTTCTTAGCTATTCACTAGACATAGTCTGTTAAATATAGTAGAGTTCGTGTTTTCACAATTAGCTAGATAACCTTAAGAGACCTCAGACCGTTAGTCAAACTACTCACTGGTGTGAACAAGAAGCCAGGCTTGTCTGTACTGTGACACATGGTCTGTTTCCCTCTTGTGTTCCTCTCAAAATGAATTGTTTATATACATGGATGTAACTGTGAAATTCCCCTTTATCAGGATGTGTTCTAACTCTTCTGGGAAGTTTCTTAGTCATGTCTTCGCTTAATCACGTATGTGAAAACATAAGGTTATTTTTTTTACTCATGAAACTACCACTCAAATTCTCCACTTGAATCTTTTAGGAAGTTGCATGGAAAACAAAACCTTGCAGATCCGCCAGACATTGACATCAAGCCTAAAATAATGTTCTCCTTTAAAGAAATGTAAGAAACAAAGTGCAATTCTAAAACATATATCTGCCTAGAAAATACAACTGCACTTCAAACAAGAATGTAGAAGTCTTGAAATTCCACTCCAAAATGTTCTGCTCAGGAATACAGTTAGTTGATTTTAGTTTTCTTTTCAATGAGATGGTGGTATGATTGAAAGCAACAATACAGCTAACCTAGAGAGTAGAAATAAGATATCTGATGAGATTGTGGTTAAGCACAAAAATTTAGCACGGAAATCATTCTGGGTTGGAACAAGAATCACATTTCAAACAGATCAGTTCAGTTATCTAACCACAGTGTTTTTGTCATGTAAAGTTACTACCGTGCCATTCCCCTTCAGATTCCATTGTCATTTTAAATGGTCAAAGACACGTTTTTAAGGTGCAGAATTCACAAGCTTCCATTAGCCAACTACTCATGAAACCTATAGTGATGTTTGTCATTTGGTTCCTCTGTGCTCTTCAGGCAAATCAAAACACTCAATTCCAGTAAAACACACACACACACGTTGGGTTTTCATGTTTTATGGGGACATTCCATAGACGTAATGGTTTTTCCTGGTATTCCTATTCTTGTGGGGACATTTGGTCTCCATAACAAATACCAGGTACACACACACACACACACACACACACACACACACACAGGAACACAGTTGAGATAGCATGTGTCTAAAACATCTTTTATTAGTGTTCAAAATAAGTCAAACCAACTATAAATGTCAAAAGAATTGGATATTATGATATATTTTTAAGGAGATTTGAAGATGGTTGTCAATAACTGCACATTTCTTATTCTTATAGAAGGCTAAATTATACAGATACCACATTTATCCATTCACTAATATCAATTTGGGTAATTTTTATGATTCTTGTCTGCAAAATGGACTACAATGTCCTAAAACAGCATGCACTTACTAAAAAAATAATGCAGATACACAACATAGAGTAAGTATTGTGACAGGATGTTTGGAAAATGTGGTTACTGCAATGTTCTGGTTTCTTGTCACTTTTTTTATAATCAGCTGTAGTTATTATATACTGCTCATTGGTTTTCTCCAGAATGTGATAGAAAGACAAACATTCTTCCAAATGTCCTTGTTCAGAGTCAGTAAATTCAGCTCTTTTTGATTTTGTTGGTACGCTATGATGTTGTCAGACAGTTTTAGCTAAAGCATTGATTTCAGACACCAGTTCTCTTACTGAAGTGATGAATTAGATTAACCATTGAATAACAGTGTCTAGCTGGAGTCACTCGCTTGGAGAACCAAAAATCAATCCTGTTGATAGAACACGGTTGTAAAGGGAGACTGTCGGTACTGAAATCCAGTGACTTACTAGACAAACCCAGGTCCATCTCTGAAAGTGGCCAGAGAGGAAGCCACTGAACGATCTCTAAAAAGTGTGGATGAGGTGAACTGTGTCGATGAGAACACCACCGCTCTCTAATGCTAATTTAGCCACCACTGCTGACCATGCTGGCTGAAATATCTCCGCTTACATCCAAGCCAAGCTTTTGCAGGTCCAAGCCCATACTGGCCAGCACCTGGAGCAGAGTCATCTCCTGTTGTGTGGCCTGGTCAATCAGGGCTGGACAGGTTGGATTGCACTGTGGCCACTGGCAGTTATCAATGAGATGAAAGGGACAGCCCTTTAGAGGCGTTTTACTGTTCTTAATAGCCTCCTGAAGACTTCTGTCCCAGCACTGCAGAGCACGAGAGAGTGACGTCCCCTTGATCTGGAAATCCATCCAATTACTGAAGGAAAGAAAAATTAGACATTAGACCTTTACTTTCTGAATGCATGTTCTTGGACTTATTGTGAACGATTCTTTATTGCACATTATCAAAAAATCGCAATACAATAAATTCCAGATAGATAAAATCAAGTGCTCTCTCTCATTTAGCATTACCATCACAGGAATAAATTACTTAAAATATATATAAATAGAAAACAGTTATTTTAAATGGTAAAAATATTTCACAATATTACTGTTTTACTGTTTTTATATAAATTAATGAGGCCCTGGTGAACATAAAAGACTTCTTTCAAAAGCATATTAAAAAAATCTTAAAAAATCTGTTTTTCCAAACGTTTTACTGGAAGTGTATATTAATAACTTACAGAATTTCTCGAACTTTTGGAATCACAAAATGAACTGTGGTCAATTAATTTACCTATAACGACACTTCCAGTTTCTGTTAATATATAAGCTATAATATATTATTAACAGAAAGTGGTAATGTTGATTTAGGTAAATTAATTAACCACAATTCATTATGTGATTCCAGATGTTTGAGGTGATCAAAATAAATGTTTTTTAATTAAGTTAGGTCATTTATATCACTATGAAATATTAATTATATATATTATATTAATTAAATATTGTTATACTAATTATATGAATAATAATCTAAGTCATTCTGCATCCCCTCGGAAACTTAGCTGACAACTGTCTCTGTAGCAAGTTGCTTTAGAAACAAGCTTTAACTAAATGGCAGTTTAATTAGCAGTAGTCTAATCAGTCTGTTTATAAGCAGCTATAGCTCTGCTGTAACTTTGACCTCATCATGTGTTTTGCCATGGTTCTCCTCACAAATCATCTGTCCCAGTGCTCTCTCAGCTGAGCTCATAGAGCGGCCATTAATTAAGTGTGAAATCATGAGGTGACATTTTGGTGACACCTAGAATGCATCATGATGGACGAGTGTTCAAATGCAGGCGTATGAGCTCACCCATGAGGAGTGTGTCTCAGGGTGCCTGCATGTCCTTACCTTTTGGTAATCAAAGTGTGGGAAAGACAGGAGGGGGCAAACACGGCCCTAAAACAACATACAGCAGGACATTTTTAATACACAGAAAATAAACAGCCTTAAGCAAAAAAAAAAAAAAAAAAAAAATGACCCCTTTAAAGGTAAAATTGTAATAAGGTTAAATTGTAAATTACTTTTGCTGACATGATTTTGACATGATTGTTCAACTATTAGTAACTATTTAGCTATTCTGGAGACATATTTGGCTAGTTTAAGTGATATACTACTATATTATTGCTAGTTATTTACTCACGTAACATCTTTGAGAGAGCTTTTAAACTCTTTTCCCAGGTTCTGCATGTAGGTCCACTGCTGCTCTGAGAGCGATTGGCCGCCCATATAAATGTTCTCCACTCGTAACTGTTCCTCATCAAACAACCACTGCACTACAAACAGTGGAGCTAAAAAGAGACATATCCTCTGTTACTTTAAAGGAAGTAAGTCTTATTAACATCAGCCAATTCTGTAAAAATGTTTTCATTCATATCGCACAGATGGCACACCCTCACCCGTTATGTAGGTGTACAGTTTATGTCCAAAAAAGCATTGCCATTCCTCGCCTCTTTTATACTGCTGCTTGCACTTTTCTGGAACAACACCACTCCACAACCTAACAGAGATATAATATCATCAAAAATGTATAGGATGAGTTATGCACTGAAGATTAAAATAAATGCCTAATCCTAAGTATAAGCAATAACATTAATACTTGCTTTAGAAAAAAACACTCATGTACTTGAAGGTTTTTTTTGTCATCCCTTGTGAAAATGAAGTGTGCTTAATTATATTGAATGTGCACTTGTAGTGTAGATCAAATCTCAAAAGCATATTTAAAAAAAATCTGTACTTGCAGATAATATTATATTAATGAAATAAAGGGCCAATTAAGCAAACTTAAAGAGAGTACATTTTTATGAATGCTTGTTAACACTTAAGTATGTTTCTAAAAAGTGCACTTTATAATAATGTCAAATTAAAAGTTTTACTTTAAAGTACATTTTAAATCAGTTTTAATATTTTAATATCATATTTTAAAGAAGTACATTTATTTTTATATACTAAAGTACTTATTTGGATGTACTAACTGTGCTAAAGCACATGTAAAGTACTTGATTAGAATTTTTACTGTAGTGTGTAATTCGATATTACATTTAAAGTTACATTACATAACTATATTTTAAACTTATTAAACTGCAACTTCATCATTTTAAATGTATAATTACAAATATATTTAAATACAAGTTTCATAGAAATGACATTAAATTCAGCAGTACACTTTAGCCATATTTAAACTACAACTGAAATAATTGCATTTCATATAAATTGAAACTATAATACATTTTGGTAACACTTAATTTTACAGTCTCCTTGTTACACAGGTTACATGTACTTACTTATTACTAAAAGTAAAAAGTAAAAGTACTAATTACTAAAAGTAAATTAGGCATAATTACATGCAACTAACTGTAAACCAAACCCTAATCCTAAAACTATAGTAAGTACATATTAATTAATATTATTCACTACTTCAATGTATAATTATACTGTAACAAGGACACCTTAAAATGAAGTGTAACAACATTTTCATTAAATTTGGAAATAACATGCAGTTAAGTGTCAGAAAACAATACATTTAGTTCACACTTAAAGGGGTCATATGATGCGATTTCAATTTTTCCTTTCTCTTTGGAGTGTTACAAGCTCTTTGTGCATAAAGAAACAGCATCATATGACCCCTTTAAGTATATTCTTTTAAAGTGTATTATTTCCATAGTAAGTACTCTTCTTAAAAGTATGCTGAAGTATACATCTTTTTAGAAGGGATGTTATGGTTATTGCTAATGCAATCAATTAATTTAAAATGGATTTGTGTAATACTGAAACTGTAGGCTAATTTAAGTTGTGACCAAAACTACATATTCATTATTCTGGTAAATTGAGATTAGCATGTACACTTTACCGAAGTCCTTTTTTTATGACATCCACAGGGGTGCAGGAGGCACTGTCTGGACAATCAGGAGCTTTTTGCTGTTTACTCTCCAGAAACCAGCCTGAGTCAACAAGGCCGCGCACCTGAGCGTCTGCACCCAGCTGCTCCAGAAGACTGGACACCTTATCAATGTTCAGCAGGACACCTGCTCCCCCGGCACTGCAGGAAAGAATAAATAATATTACCCAAAATATTACCTCAACCCTCAAAATCTAGTTTGTCAAACTAGTGAACTACAAATATTGTTCTGAATATCAAATGGCTTCAACAAATGCTTTGGAATAACCAACAAAACATGTTGCTAACATTGGAAGAATCCTCAGAGCTTGTTTTACTTCCTTGGCAGGATATATATAGATATTATGTCATTGTCTACAGCATTACAGGCTGCAGTAAACATTTTTTATGGTAGACAACAGGATGTGCTGAAAATAGTGCTTCAGTCAGTGTTGTGGTAAAACTCAAGGGGTGGTCCATGGACGGGAATAGGATTTCATGGTTCTCCAGATGGCTCTGTTTCAATTGTTCATAGCATCTTGTTATTAGATCTCAATATGCAGCAACAGGTGTAATGGGGGTCTAGTGCTATATTTGTTAATAAGTGAATTCAAATCCAGTTATGGGATTTATAACAGCTATGGTTCTTGGATTGAGGAAACAAATTGCAGAGCATCCACAAGTATAATTATCTAAAGAAACAATTATTATTATTATTAATAATAATTATAAAAACTCCAAACAATTCTTCCAGGTCAAACAGCAAGGAAAACTCTCTCTTTTACTATAAATGCATCCCATCATTTAAGAAACATGCAAAAATGGATACAAACCAATGTCATAACTATTTTTTTCTCCAGACTAGAACAATTTGGTAACATAGCCAGAGATCTCACCTAGTTCCTGCCAACATCACAACTTTGGCTTGTTTCAGTCCTTTTTGGACAAGATCTTTGATCACCTCCCGAATGATTTGAGATCCCATGAAAGCATATTCTGTGGTGGAATAAATAAAATATAGAGTCCTAATTTTGGTAACAAAAAACGTTAATATTCTGAAAAATGTACCTGTTTCTTTTCCCTGTTTGGACTTTGATGCTGCTTTGTTACCACTCCACACATCGCTTGAACAATAGGGAACAAACCTAGTCACATTAGATAAGAGACGTCAGACAAGTAAGTCAGCTATGTATTAATTACAAAGCTTATATAAATATCACTAGGGCTGGGTAAAAAATATCGATATCTCAATATTAATCGATTCTCATTTTTACGGAATGATATCTATTTTTAAATCCCAAGAATCGATTATTCTAGCCTGTTTTCAGTTAATGGACCGAACGTTGAAGGGCACTTCCCATCCAATATATCGCAATAAGCATTGTGCTTTGGTACTTTTAATATGAAACAAAGTCTCAGATTTTAAATTATGTCCATTGTATTGCAGTATTCAAACAATAAATGCGGTTTTGGCGCTGTTTAATGTGGAGTGACAGATCGCTGTAGCGCCTCAGTTCAACAGACGCAGCAGCGCGAGGCCCACGTGAACTGATCATCTCCTCCACATTAATACCAGTTTCAGCACAAAATAAACATGACTAAACATCCGAAGGTAAGTTAAAAGAAAGAATACAACTCTACAATCCGTATCCTGTCTCATGTAATCGCTCAATTACGAGCAAAGAGGTCAATATAACGGCTTGTAAACAATGTCATGTAACGTCACATTTACCAATAAATCCATCAAATTTTTTATGACAGCCACCCATGTTTAAATAAAAAAAAAAAACGAATTGTAGAAATATTATTATGTAATTGTAACTTTATTATTTTAAAACTTCATTAAGTGTAATTTTAACAAATCAATCAGTTTTAACCTTCAATATTATAGTAATGTAGTACCAACTGACTCTCATGTATATTTTAGTTGATTTTTTTTCCTTGAGAAAATTTGGCATGTACTGTACCTGATATATATATCCAAAATAATCGAATCGGTAATCGAATCGAATTGCAAGCTTGTGAATGAGAATCGAATCGAATCGTGAAATTTGTGTCAAAACCCAGCCCTAAATATCACTCTTGAATTTTTTTAGATACTTACACAATATTAGCATTATACCAGTGAGGATTTTCATCAACTTGTGTTGATAGTAATCCAGTCCCTGCAAATAATCAGAGAGGTGGTTTTCATTAAGAATCACTTGAGTATGGCTTGCATGACTAGCTAGAAGAAAGCAAGATGTGTTGTTGTGAGTCTGGTTAATATCAGCCTACCTTTGCGCGTCTGTGGCCAGTCAGTTGAGCTCATCAGACGGGGGATAGTTTTGTATCTGGAATCGCAGGTCTCTTTGTTGTAGCAGCACCAGCCACCTAAAAGAGATAATTGGAATTAACCTCACATTATCCATAAAAAAACAACAACTTGCAGTAGAGAGGATACACTGACTACAGTATTATTTTATTGTTTTAAAATTAGTCTTTAAGTAACAAAAACAGCCAAGTTTACAATGAATCCATGTAAGCCTGTTATTTTGATAGGCGTTATGGCTTAGTATTATTACAAATAGATGTTAAGTAAGTTTGCTAATCTCTCCTCCACCATCTTAAGTCACTTCCTCTTGGCGAGGCTTTCCAAGTAAAGAGACATTACATGATTTATGTGCTTACACCTTGTTCTCCCTCTTGCATTGTTTAATTTTGCCAAGTCTAATTTAACATCACGTTACTTTTCTTGACCAGTGAGACTATATATCTTTTCAACATGCTGTTGAACCAACGTGACATGCCATGCTCCAAAAAAGCAAGAAAAATTACATGTCTAAGAAGATGACCAGCCGTCAAAATAACGCTGAGCACTGCATTTAAGCCTGCTGACCTCTCTCGACAAAATTAACTTCGTTTTAAATACTCACCTTCCAAAAATATCAGCCATCTCTTACTTCCTTTGAACTCCTTTAGGTAAAACCTGTGGGCCACAAATAAATATAGATGGTCTAGGGAACATAGCCATATGAGGACATTTACAAAACTGTCAAAGGACTGATATTTAACTTAACATTGCAACACTGCTACAATTTTGTACATTTATGATTTGGAAGATGTTTTTTCCAAAGTGACTTACATTGCATTAAATGTTTAAATATTACCAGTTAATTTATCCTCTGGGAATCAAACCCATGACCGAGGTGCTATACTAATTATACTATACTAAGTTTTGCCAAAATTGCCAAGTTTATGCACCTCTGGCTAGCAATGCGGATGTCAGTGCTGTGTCTTACCCAGCGGCTGTACCATCGTTGCACATCACTAATGTGTTCTTAAGAAAGTGCAGCTTCATTTCATCAACAGGCTTATTGACAGATGTGCTTTGTTGGGCGTTGCCACGACCTCCAGAGTTAGTTTCTTTACTGGAATCGCCAGCACCTGCTAGTGCAGGGTTTGGATCATCTTCAGGGCCATGCTGGGTCGTCTCTATAGCCTGGCTATTAGGCTTCTTTGCAGGTTTTCCACCTGACTTGGCATTGCGATTGTTGTTCTGACAAGAAATGACTCCCAGCAGAAGCAGGAACATAACATGACACAGAATATTCATATCAAATCCGACAGGACCTCCCTAAAAAAGGCCAAATGGGAACAGTCTGCATAAACCTCAAAAAGACGATTCAAAGCCATACCATTTTTATCATGGAGGGCCCAAGTTTTGAAAAGACACTGCTTTCAATTATTTTATTGACTTAATCTGTCACTGCCAATGAAATTAGAAGTGATCAACACTCACCCCTTAAAGCAACTGGTCCTGGTCCCCTTGGCGTCTTGGAGAGCAAATATCCTCAGGTTCTATGGGAAAGGTGGTTTTTGAATTGATGCTATGCCGGTGTCCTGAAAAGATCTTGGTCTTTGGTTGTGGTCCGTGCTAGATTTTATAGTGCTACCATATGGATTGCATTTCTCAACATCCCCTTTGAGCTGGTGCCAGCTCTGGGCTGCAACCAATGACACACCAAACCTGGACGTCTAATGGCGAGGAGAAAAGATAGCATGCACTCTCCCAACCATATTTCAAAGACATCCCCTCCCCACCTAACTTAGTCTCAAACAAGCCCTCCCGCCCTCCCCTAGACCGGGCTCGACTTTGATTTAAACACCTACATGGTTGAAATACCTGCATAACCCTGCAGCTACATGGCATGTGGCTCTAGGTCATTGGAGCAGACCTCTCCCTGCTCACTCTAATAGGAGAAACTCTTCACTCACTTGAATAATGAAAACTCTATGAAATAATCCTATGAAAATAATCCTTTTGAAAATGTTATGTCTTCTCAAATTAAAGAAATGGAAGTGAATTGTGCACAGATTTACAATCTGCTGATTGATCGCACAGGGTTGCCTTACAAAAAGCAACAGCTGATAGACTGATGCTGTCATTATCCACTCTGCTTATCAATCATGGTGAAATGTATATGTAAATGAATGATGTTATGGAAACATGCTACATCTTTGGCATAAGAGACATGCTTTTGCATCTAACCTTTGGTATAGAAGACCTGTCTTTGCGTCTGACCAACTAAAGTGTTATGCTTCCATCTAAGTACAAGCACTGTCCTGGGCCTCTTTATTAGACCATGACAAATATTATTATAATCAAGTGGTAATATAACAGAAATGTATCCAGAAATTGGTACATATAAATACTCAACAAGAATAAAGGTTAGAAATATATTTAACTATTATATAAAATTACAATAAACACACTAGAATTGCAGCAAAATCCTACTATTTTCAAAGCAGTGAAAACCAGATAATTAGTAAATAACCAAATGCCATCATTTTGCATCTAGAATATTGCTACAAAATAATTCAACCTAATTCAGTAGTAATTTACAAATTGCAAATCCATAACAAGAACAGGGAGATAGAAGGCAGATCCAGGATGGCTTTAGACTGACATAGTAATCAGCGAAAAAAATCACAAGTCTGGCCCTCTTTAAGTCTCACCGCTGAAATGTACACCATCCATCCATGTCAATCTGCCATTAATGAGCCTCAAGTAAAAGGTTAGAAAGTGAGACACATTGAGATACTCCACTTATTATCCAAGATTCTCCCAAAAAATCCATAAAACAATAATAAAAAAGCCTTACATGCTATTTGATCAGATCAGATAATGGCCAATCGCACTCAAAATATTGACCAATCTACGCTCAGAAACACATGACCTGTTTCTTCATAAGAATTTCTTACAGGACAGGGCAAGGATAGTTATTCACAATTATATTATTGGTGTTATTGTATAATCTTATATCTTGTAGGTTTTTGGTCATCTTTTAGAAGCGTAAATCAGTTTCAGCATAACTCAACATAATTATTCTACTTTCTTATCTACTTTTGGACTGCTTAATATATAATATAATATAATATAATATATAAACCTGCTTAACCTGGACTCCTTGTAGTCAAGTTTTTGACTCAAGATGTTTTTACTGTTCATTGAGTTCTAAGAGCTGAAGTCTTTAAAGTGTTGCCAGATGAGTGAAAATATTTAGACAAAAAATGTCTAAACAGCTAATCAAATGACATTTCTGAATTTGATCTACTGAGCTTAAAACATTCTTCATTCTTTCTGTATTTAGAAGCACGCACGCTGCCCGTCTTCCCAGAATTCATTGCAACAATCTGCGCAGCAGACCTCAAAATGCAGAAAAACAGACAAAAAAAGGTGTAAATCCTTCACCGTATTTTCCAATACAAGCCAGAATGTTTTGAAAAAAGCTTTTAGATGGCATTGCTTGTCTTTTTTGTCTTTGATATCTGCTTCAATAGATTCTTTCAATAGAAGCTGGCAAGATGGTGTAGATATTCAGACATTGTCTGTGGGTCTGAACCTGAAGCAACTCCGCTGCTCTGACCAGAAGTGACACGAAGAGGAGCAGATGCCTGAATAACGTCTCATTTTTGTTAAAAAGGAAACCAATCCCATATACAGTATCTCACAGAAGTGAGTACACCCCTCACATTTTTGTAAATATGTGAAGACACTGAAGAAATGACACTTTGCTACAATGTAAAGTAGTGAGTGTACAGCTTGTATAATAATCGAGTGGCCAGCGGAGAACTAGGACTCGGTTTTGTTTGGAATGTGTTTTTCAAATGTACAGCCAAGGTCAGCTCCTGACACTGAGCGCTCGAGTGGTCCGAGCACTTTGTCTGTGTCCGTGTGTGTGTCATCACTGCACTTGAAGGCAGGCGAGTGCATTTCTCAGCTGACAGGCATCAAAGCATGCCGCACCTCCGAGAACTGTAGATGTGATTTTCAGAGCACAGTAATGTGTAAAGGTCATGATCTTAAGGGATCATATCATCTAAACATCTAAGCTGAATGCTTGTGACTTAAACATCCACAATTTACACGCCAGGCAGTTGTTCGGCTTGTTCAGTGCATGTAGATCCAAGTTCATCTGGAGCTGTAGGTTGAATTGAACCATGGAAGGAATGAGATCATTAGAAAAGCTTAGATAGTTTCGACTGTCAGCAGTGCTCAAGTGCATTTTATGAGAGAGAAATATATATGCAAAGGTACAGGTGACTTGCACACTCACCATGTAAGCCCCAAGACGATTGATGATATTTGCTGAGAACGGCTGTGTAGTTATGGCTGTTTGTCATCAGCACTGACATCGCAGGCTTTGCTGGATTGGTGCAAAGTGTGAGACGCCCACTAACAGGACGAGTGCTGAAGCAAGCGTTATGGTAGGTGACATGTTAACCTTCTGTAAGCAGTCAATGGGATTGATGGTCTTGGCAGGCTTCCATGATGTAATAGCCAAAGAAAACAAGTGGCACGATTTGAATTTTGAGGTTCCCCAGCAAGAGTGTGACTCGAAAGGCAATTTCATCATGCACTGAGCTTTAACTCATGACTTTAAACCCAGCTGAGGTGTATTAGAGTCAATGGCTGTGTCTGAATTCCTGTACCTTCACAGTATGTACAGAATATGATGAAAAAATGAATTCTTGACTGAAGAACATCACAGGTGTGTAGTAATACATTCCTGAACACATTACACCTACCATGTTGGATTGTTCTTTGACCTATTATGTACTAACAAATGTAAAAAAGTTTTACTTGTGTGTCGCTGACAAATTAAGAAATAAATGATGTGTGATGACAGCATTGAGTAAATCACATTATAGCCTTGACGTCATTGAATTGCTTTCAAAGTTGTAAAAGATTGCAACAGTCAATCACTGTTTGCAGATGCCATAAAAACTCAATGACAATAGACAAATTTTGTGTCTCTGAAAAGACATTATATTATGTTGAATATCAAAGGTTTTTGTTTTTACCCACCTTTTACTCACTCTCAATTTGTTCCAAACCTGTATGTATTTCTTTCAGCTGTTGAACACAAAAGAGGATTTTGAAGAATGTTGGTAACCATAAAGTTGGCCGTAGCCACTGACTTCCATAGTATGGAAATAATGCAATGGAAGTCAATGGCTACAGTCAACTGTCAACAGGATTGCCACCTGTGGTGTTTGATCCTATAACCTCTTGGTTTTACCCGTGACATAACATTTTCTTAACTAAACAAATCTAAATTCTGAGCACTATTGGGATCTGTAAAGGTTTGTTAGTGACCACTAGTTGGGTCGTGTGGGGCCTCATCAAATGCTTGGGCAAATAGCTTGAAGAGCCGGCACAAACTCATGACAGTCTGAGCAGCAGCATGGCCTTGAAGTCATGCTGGTGAAGCCACACTCCTGTCAAAGCCATTGATTAATGTTCTCTGGGTCACGCCACCCTCTGGGACCTCACATAAGCTGCCCCATTTGATCAGAAACATAGCCGTTGGAGGTGCCAACACAACTGTAAGCTCCCCAAACAATGTCATGACATGCAAAGACAAACATCTATACATTCGTAAACATGCTCACCTGTTCTAAACGCCAATGTTACACCCCTAATCATGCACTCATTCTAATGGATGGTGGCCAAGCTGTATGCCACAGTTTGGTTACCAGTTTAGACATGGATTTTTCTGTTTAAAATACAAAAAATATAAAATACAAAAAATTATAATGTTCATGATTACAGAAATCAAAGTGATCTTATACTGTGGCCAGTTACGTAAAATGCTTAGACTAGTCTTACAAGTTAGTCATCTCATTCCCCCCCCCTGAGCATCAGAAATTCATGAAACTTGGCAAGTTTCATCAGACTGTCCTATTGTCCATATGTAGGCCTACCACATTTTGTGAAGTGCGGACATTGCATTCACAAGATATAAGCCAATTAGTCACTATGGGCCATTCCTAAAAACATTTCAGCCTATCTCCACAACAACTAAATGAATCAAAATTCTTTTGAAAACTTTTTCTCTGGAGTATCTTAAGATTGTGCATACCCAATTCTGTGTGACAAATGGCCTAGGCCTTAAAATGTCTCAATTATGAAAAAGGAGGTTTTTCAGAAAATTAGAATGGTGGATAAATTTTATATGTAAAAATAAAAACATGATATATATTTTGTAGTGCTTGATGCAAGAATTCCTAGAAAATAAACATTTTGATGGTAGCATATAATTTATAAAAACTTCTAGCACCAAAT